GATTTCACGGTGTATGCATGAATGGCGCGCTTTTATATAAATCGGTGATTTTGTGACAGAAAAGTGATGTAGGGAACACTGTAAGGATAATGTGGATCGCACTAAGGAACGAGGGAGACATGAGCATGTGTAGTGACGGCACGAGGGTGAGTTAGCCTTCGCATCATTACTTTACAAAATTTATGTTGCGTGTGAAAGAGGCTTCAGTGCAAATTCCAGGCCAATTTCCATTAGCCCAAAATTTCTACATTAACCCATTTCATAATGTATTTTCGACGTTTTTGGTTTCCCGTTTTTGTGTGAAAAAAAAGTATTAAAATGCAAAAAGGAAAAACAACAAATGGTAGATCTACTCACGTATTACACCGGACATGTACCTACTATATTGGATTAGGTCCCTAACCCTAACCCTAAACCCTCAGCCCTAACCCTAACCCTAGCCCCTTGAAATAATCCTAATAAATAGAATGCATTGACAGAACTGGCACAAACACGACTGACGTGTCTAGTGTAATGCATTATTACCGCTTCGAAAAATAAAATACTAATAAAACACTTTTCTATGTAATGGTGCAAATTACTGAATGACAAAAATATATATGTAAATTTAAAAAATACAAAATACAAAATACACAACACATAACACCTCAGCAGCCCGTAATACAAATAAATATGAGCGTATTAGTGAAAAAAGAAAAATATTTCAAACTGGTGCTTGCAAAATATTGCGCATCCGCCGGTATACAACTACTGGAAACTCTCAACATCGTTGGGCTTATGCAATGACATAGCTCGTAGAGATGAAACACCAGTGAGCGGAGCTTATACGCACTCGCTCAGCCAGACAACCGTGTTGCCATGCAGGCGTCATAGGGCATTGTTTCGAGATCGTGCTTTCGAACAAAATCACATTACATTACGTAAAAGGGTATTATGACGTATTTTTAAAGTTTGTGGTGCTGTATTCTAAAGGTAGGCCTCGCAGTGTGTCGTGTCAGTATCAAGCACGTGAATTTAGTGCAGCACGTGCACTACACTTACCCCCGACACACAGCCTATAACTTTCCTCTATGGCACTTCTTCATTTCCAAAATGTACTCGCACGCACCGAAACATTACACAGGTAGCGTCCGCTAAACAGTCAGCCAGAACTGAAATCTGGCCGCATATTGGAGCGTCGCTCTCAGCCGTCCCTGTCAAGCTCACAGAGTTCAAGTACAGGGGGCGTGACGTCATCATCGCCAGTTCTGACGTCATAGGTTTCCAGGCGGCTGTACGTCTTGCCGCCAGTGTTCTAGAGGTCGGGGCGGGGCGGGGTCGGGGCAGGGCGGGGCGGGGCGGGCCGGGCAGGGTATCATAGTATTTTTGCATGACAACGTTAATTTCGTGTACTAATGCTAGGGCTAAAATTATGATTTTTGTGTTTTTGACCCAAAATCTGGTTTTACCAGAAAGTGTCCACGCGAATATTTCCGCATCATGTCTATTATTATTATATAGGTCTTCAGGTTTAATTTGATATATAGATCATGTATGCCTCTCAATTTCATCAAATCTTCTCCCAAAATGGGTTTGTTTCCTGCCCTGTGAGGAGATATAAGACAAAAGATACCAAATCTGCGAATTTGAAAATATTTGTTTTATCCCAAAATGTTATTGAAAGTAAACCATCCCAGTATTCGGGTCAACCAATACACACTACCTCACAAGTCACGTTGATCCACTTTCAGAACGAAGTCCGATGCTGGTGATAGGACAAGGGTCGTGGAAATAACGACACAGTTCAAAAGGCTGTCAAGTAAACAAAACAACTGCGGCTGGACAGCGGGCATCTCTCTTCACTGTAACCACTCAATTACATGTCTACAATGTATTTGTGTGTGGAATCCAGGTACTTGGACGGAGAGAGACTTTGTTTCTGACTATACTATACTGAAACAAGATACCAATACATTATCACATTTAATACACAAATATACTACTGCCATATTAAACAACGCATCAGTGACACAATGTATATAGTGTGCAACATTGTCTGACATTATCCAGAGCTATTAACGGCAATCCGGCCTTCTCAGTTGATGCGAAATGGGTTTTATTCAACACACCAGTATAACAAGTTTGCAACGTTCTTGGCAACCGGTATCAATGTTGCAATGTCACAACCTCACGAACGTTCGCTTAACTTTATTGTTAAGTTCGGTTTGAAGTTGTGTTCTTATTTTTTGTTCAAGTGTTTCGCAATGTTTTGATTCAGATTGTTTTAAATATTTATTCATTAATGACCAATGATCCCTGATATGTCCTGACCAGGTCAAGTTGCTGTCTAAAATCTCAGGGCTTTTTTTTGAGACTGGAGAAAGTAGTTCAAACTAGTAACCACTGTGTTGTTGTTAAATTATTCTTTTCCTTGTTTCATTTGTGCCAAATATTATTTATGTTCTTATTTTGTCATGATTAAAAGTGTTCATTAGAGATTAATCAAGCATAGTAATTTTGTTGTGTTTTTGCTTTATAAATAAAGCGTTAACTCAATTATAAGTAGTTTATTGTTAAAAAAAACCTTCTAGGAATATATTGCAATACATATCGCAATATATGCTTTCGCATCGCAATATATCGCAATATGAAAATTCTCTGCAATACCCCCCCTAATAGCAACAGCACGTTTGTGAACAGAGTACTTTTTAAACCTCGGCGGGACGAATCTGCCATGTCTTGATTTATACTCCTTCGCTACATCCTGTCTTTAAGGGACTGTCGTTAACACAGGTGTCAGTGTTCCCAGTCATTATTAAATCAGTTTAGAGTGTTTAACTAGGGCCAGCTAAAAAGATCGATAATGTGAATTATCGTCGATAGCATAAATTATGTTAAGATTATCAATAAAAAAAAGATGATGTTGGGTCTATTTTGGTTTATATATCTAAGCCTATTGTAAGCATGGATCCTAGGTTTCAGTATGTCACTGCATCTTGTGGATCCCATACCTGCTATTGACAGGTGTTGTGTACTTGTCAAAGACTCGTTCCATGATTTGCAAAATGGTTGATTGGTGCCATGAAAACCATTCTTATGGTTACTCGTGTTTCAAGTGCATAAGGTTAGATTAATGTACCCTAAAGAGGGGTTACCATATCATTATTTAACCAGTTTTAAATGAATACGATTTCAAATTAGAAATATATGTTTAAGTAAAGTTGGGAATTTTTGTGATCCTTAGCAAAGTGTGAGTAGTATATGTTCAGGACGCTGTTTTGTTCATAACCCATATTCATTTCTTTTTGACGTTCTTGGCATGTTTGCTCAAAGTTCTCCGATAAATATCGATAATCGATTGATATTTAGCTAACGATTATCACTATCTAAGATCTGTATCGATAGCCAGCTTCTATGTTCAATAAATTCTTATGTCGGTATCTGGCCAAGATTGTTCTATGTACCAGTGCTATATTTGTTATGTGAGTGCCTGTGAATCTGATTTGCCCTTCCTATTTCAATATGATACAACGTATACATTCTGGACCTCATCCCCGATGGTATGCAGTTTATCTGAAGTTGAACAATATTTTATTATTCTGCCATGGGATACATATTGCTAAGTTATGAGCCAACAAACACATTTAACCCGTGAAGATCCGGGTTATAACTGATCTTCGGTGACTAATGCTTGTCGTATGAGGCGACTAACGGGATCGGGTTGTCAGGCTCGCTGACTTGGTTGACACATGTCATCGTATTCCAATTGCATAGATCGATGCTCATGCTGTTGATCACTGGATTGTCTCGTCCAGACTCGATTATTTACAGACCGCCGCCATATACCTGGGATATTGCTGAGTGCGGCTTAAATCGAAACTCACTCACTCACGAACAAATTTAACTATGTTTTTATTGCCAGAAAGGCGAAGACAAAAAGGGTGGCAGAAGGTGATATATATATATATACATGTATGTATTGTATGTATGTATGTATGTATGTATGTATGTATGTATGTATGTATGTATGTATGTATGTATGTATGTATGTATGTATGTATGTATGTATGTATGTATGTATGTATGTATGTATGTATGTATGTATGTATGTATGTATGTATGTATGTATGTATGTATGTATGTATGTATGTATGTATGTATGTATGTATGTATGTATGTATGTATGTATGTATGTATGTATGTATGTATGTATGTATGTATGTATGTATGTATGTATGTATGTATGTATGTATGTATGTATGTATGTATGTATGTATGTATGTATGTATGTATGTATGTATGTATGTATGTATGTATGTAGTATGTATGTATGTATGTATGTATGTATGTATGTATGTATGTATGTATGTATGTATGTATGTATGTATGTATGTATGTATGTATGTATGTATGTATGTATGTATGTATGTATGTATGTATGTATGTATGTATGTATGTATGTATGTATGTATGTATGCTTATGTACCACCGTTGGTGGCGTTTATGAGTGAATAAAATGAATGAATGATGATGATGATGTAATGATGCCCAATGGTCACCACGAACACTGGCTGCCCATCCGACAAAGGCGCGGCAACAATTAACACACTTCCCACTTGTGTGACTGAGAAGTGCCGTAGCGCCATCGTCGCAGTAATCATGCCACGCATCCTCATGAAGTGTTCGTCACACCAGCGTCAGTCGACGTCACGCATCGCATCCGAACATCGCATCACAACAACATCGTATTATGACAACGTCATCAGATCACAACATCGTCACATGTTCATCTCGACGTTACATCACATCGGAGCATCGTAGCACAACATGCCTTAAAACATCATATCGTAATCTCGCATCGTAAAATAATATGTCAATATCGGAACGTCGTAGCATCCTTGATCAATTACAAACATACCGGGCAATACTTCAATATTACTTAATGCAGTGTACTGGAACAAACTCATTCGTCTTAAGATGGGTATCGCTGATATTTTCCTCACTTTCTTTCAGCAAGCCCTCTGCTTTCATCTTTACGCTCAGTATCCTACTCGGACGTCGACTCTACACACTCCCAGCTGTGTACTGACCAAGGTAGGGAACTGTAGATGCTGTTTGTTTGCTTTACGCTGCAATATTCCAGCTATATCACAGCGGTTTGCATATAACCAGGTCCTGACCAGACAATCCAGTGACTGACACGACTCACGACTGGGATAGTGCCATGTGTCAACCAAGTCAGCGAGTCTGATCCCCCTATCCCGTACGTTGCCTCCTACGACAAGCATGAGCTAGACCATTTCTGACGTGGATATTGAGGGTCTGTGAGGGTATATAATGATCCATTGATCCATGGTCCACGCAGTAGGGAGTCGGGCGAGAAGCTCCCACCTACTTATGATGATTGAGGCGACGTACAGCTTGTTCAGCTTGACCTGAGCTACTCTACATATGCATGACCCGGGAGGCCAAATGGCACAAAAGGCAGGTCGAGTTAACTTCATTAAAGGAGAATACGAGTGAATTGCAATAATTTGCTGGGTGAAAGATAAAGTCATCAGAACCATATTCCCAAATTTTCAATTAAAAATTATGTATAATTATGGTTTAATCGCGAAAACAGTTTCTGTAAATCTCAGCTTCGGCCATTATGCATATTTCGCTGGAACCCACGTGACCTTTCCGCTCCTGACGCCAAATGTGCCTAGAGTCCGCCATATTGCCAAAGACCAAGCGCTACAGTAGTACAAATCGTGTTGTTTTCGTCGTTTTTGTAAATGGTACGATGGTGTATTCTGTTGGCTGGGGATGCACGGAATCATCGAACAATGGAAAGCCACCATTTCTTTTTTGTTTTCGTTCGAATTCTCCTTTATATAGGGGAGCTTTTTCCTTTCTTGTTCTATTCGGCCCACGGTTGCACTGGAAACACCAGTTGCTGCTGCTGCTCGCTGCCGAAAAGCCCGAAACATTAAACCATCTGTAGCTTCATTTTTAAAGAAAGTTAGGACATCGCTGACGATTTCTCGACACTGAGATGTCAAACGGCACCTTGTCTCGGCTGTTCGGACATGTTGACAATCAACTAACAAAGGTGCACCCCTTCACAATATCAGACCCAACCAGTTGTGACACGGTCACGCAATGCACTACAGACTATAGTATTCACTTGATCAGGTCAAGCTGAACAAGCTGTAATGAATCAGATTTTTCAGATATTGTAACACCTATCATCGTGTATATTTTGGTCACAATATCAACCACTGGTTTGTCTTGTCCAGGTTTCAGACATATGGTGTAATAGTGTTAAACAAACAAACAACTCTAATTAGATTTTTATGCATGGCTGACTGAGTTTGGTTTTACGCCGCTTTTAGCAATATTCCAGCAACATCACGGCGGAGGACACCAGAAATGGGCTTCACGCATTGTACCCATGTGGGGATTCGAACCCGGGTCTTCGGCGTGACGAGCCATGCATGACTAGAAAGGAGAACTAAATGCTGTTGACACTCTTGGCAGGTGAGTTGAGGTGAACTGGGGTTTAAGGTAGTGTTGGTGTTCTATTCCGCATTAACGCTTGTTTTATAGTGCCAGCCCTCATATTTGTTTGTTTGTTTGTTTGTTTGTAGTTTATACAGTTTGAAAAGTGAACGTTGTGCGAGAATTGCTCTCACGTGGTCCTGGATCTACGTAAGGCTATAAAATTACACAGAAATGTAGAATATTAAATTTCCTATCCGTTGGTATAAATATAAGTGCAACTACCTTGGCGGTTTGAGAAATAGACCTTGCTAAATGTTGTCCAAATTTTTGTTATGCGTTAAAAAACAGTAAATTTCTCCGCTTTTTATCGCGCACCGATAAAAGCACTGTGCTACGAATTTTTTAATGGGCCATCTTTACGGAAAGTGTGAGCGAAGGAAATACAGCCTGATATCTGAACGACATAAGTGTATATGAATTGGGTTTATGTGCTTGTGCATATGTTATACGCTCAACATTAAAAATGACTCGCAATAAATGTCAAAAATGTATTTTCTTCTATGACGTCAAACGACGAAAGAGAGGTCATACACGTATAATGATAAGGGGGCATAACTCCGTTATGCGTAACACTAGGTCAATGTAACTCAGATCACTTGGAGAAAATGTGTTGTGGATACGGACGCTATATTTTCGTTATTTTATATTCTGGTGAACCTCACTATTCCAATTCAAAGTTCCCAATGAGAACGGATGCGCTTTGGTAGTTTCACAATTTATAAGAAAAGATGACAACGTATTACATTTGAAAGCACGTAATAGCGATTTGAATGGCCCTATCGATATATAAGTTAGTTCTTAGATTCCCATATTCTCCTGTTTGTGTAGATGTAATTTGACTAATTTTGCATCGTTATTACCAGAGTACTAGCCAGCCATATCTTCAAATGTAACGAAATTGCTGAAAATAATACAACATTTTACTTGACGTCATCGCTTGTTTTATGCATTTTGCGACGTCGGAGAACGACGACATTGGTATGCTGATTAGTATATATCTCACTTAATTTCCATTAATTGTATAAAAGGTCTAGACTTCTATGTCAGAATTTTACACTCTTTAGACAAAACATAAAATGACTGATTTTTCCATTTTAAATAGTGTCCTGAATATATCAACAATTAGACAGTTTGACAGCGTATCTGATTGTGACCAACACGCGCACCTGTTTGGCATCAATTTAACGTAAATAAAAATAATATTTCACAACACCCGAACATTTTGTTTGGGATAAGAATTTTGTTTGTTTATGATTATGAAGCTATTTCTCTTCATACGTATGCAATGACAGATGCATAAAGATAGCTTTTGATATATGGAACTATATATTAGAATATGGATATAAGATTTGTCCGAATTAACACATGAGATGGTATATATATTTTTCAACAATTTTCCTATGAGTAGTTAGAGTTTGATATCCTGTCATCACAATATTATTTAATCGAATATGAATTGAATATATTATCGAAAACAATGATAGAGAATCATAAAACGTTGCCAACAAACGCGCACCTTGCCGATCTATATGCATCATTCTTTTGTCTATAAAACGACACAAAATTATGCAATGAACAAGACAATTCCTTTAAATATGTGTGCATGTACATTTCATACCATATATAAATAATTGTCATTAATATTATCAGTTTTGCGTATAAGGTTGAATCATATCACCGTTCATTAACCTGTTCATATGAAATTGCAATATTAGTCCAAATAAATTGAATATTGTACATCATAGGAACTAAAGTAATTGCAGTTATGGCTACGTTTGATCTTCTAACACTTGTGTAAAGGTTTAAAATATGGTGTATTGCAATAAATATGTCACTTTCTTATGTAAATATGATTCAAACAATCAAAAACTTTCAAAGAATAAAACACCGTAAACCCTATATGCATGTATGATATGATATTGAACAAGGCTAAATGTAGATACTGAAGTCAGTTTCATGAAAAAGTATCCGAACTATGCGCAAAATATACATCATAATACTGACAGTGTAATCGGAAGGATATGGCGATTGTGTTTACTCTTGTTCAACCGACCTTCACCTCAAAGAAATTGCCTAATATGTACAACAATGTTGACGTATGACATCACTACCGCTGACCGATTTCTTACAAAATGGCGGCTTTGCTGACAAGGGTACACAGGATTTTGCGAGGACCCTTCCACTGATTCAGGGATCGTTTGTACTTAAATATGAGATGTAAGTAATCAGAATGATTCTGACTATCTGTGTATTGTTATATGTTTTTATCTTTTTGACTATACGTAAGAGAAAAGGACAGAAATGCAGATAATTACCGTTGTCGTTCTGCGTGATTTGGCGTCAGTCATGGCGTCACGCTGCACGGAAACTTTGACAATTTCTTATGAATTATCAAATCATTGCATTGTATCTATTTATAATTTCCCATTTCTTGCTACGATACTCTTTCCATGTATATTCTAAAGGTATTGAGCCATTGCAAGCAATGAATAGACGGATGAATGTTGAAAAATTTCAGAAAATGCTACGCAGTGTAAAATCGGAATTTGTCTTTGTTTACATTTCACACAAACGCAGTCTTTCAAGCACAGCGTTCGTTTTCACACCCAACATGTTTCGTCTCATTTTATCTAGACAGTTATTATTGGTGACACAGACCAGTTTCAAATTGATTCTTAAATGTATGGGGAATTCAGTGATGCATTTTTCGAAGCTGAATATGAAATATACGTGATGTAATAGGCGTCTCAATACCGGCCTTCGCGAAACGTGATTTTGTAAACACTATCCAATATGGCGGAAAGCGCTCTACGGCGTTCGTGTAAGTGCATTTTCGAAAACATCCCAACCGATTCTAGATTCATCGGCAACGTTTCAGAATTATAATTAGCGATTTCATGTAAAACTGATATCAGTGATCATAAATATGTTATTTTTGAAATTCAATACTCACAGTAATTATCCGATTTTCACATTTCAAAACATACAGCAAATAACGCTGTGAATCGCGATTTCATACTGTGTAAAAAATGTCGCCATTTTCGATGAAGCCTATTTTGTAAGGTCTTTTTCAGCACTTGAGCTTTGTTTAAAATAATAGTGGATGGTATCAAGAAACAGGGAATTTCCCGCAGAATTCGAAACTGTGAAGTGTATTTGTGTGCGTGGGATATTTTGATTTTTATTGGACTTGAAATTGAGGGTTGAAGGGGAAGGACATATATGTCCCTGTGGCATCCAGGGGGTTAACGCCGCACTCATCAACATTTCAGCTATATGACCGCGGTCTGTAAATAGTCGAGTGTGGACCAGACAATAGTCCCGATAGTCACCTATTACGGACAGACCGACAGAATATTTTATTTACATAACACTCGTATAAAAACGGTATTATTTTCCTACGAGGGCGAACATATCGGGGTTCATATTTTTCATACGATGCCCTAGGGCAAAATATCACTTTGTCATGGTGACGTGACGTCATGAACACTGCTATGATGTCACGTTTCTTCTGTGACGTTGCGTTCTATATGCGGCAACGGCGGGTA